TAGCAGCAGAGATGGAGACCTATCCAACAAGATATTGAAATGTGCTGTAAGATATAATAATTCAAATAGTGTTGGAGGGGCATCAGACCAGAGAGATCAATGAAACAAAACGTTCAGAAACAGCCCAAGAATACACAAGTTTAATACATGATACAGTTTAATGCATGAACTATGATAAAGGTGACTGATTAGTCATAAGTGGTTCTGGGAAAACTTATCCACCATCCGAAAAAAGTGAGGTTCTCCCATCTCACAGCAGAATAAACTATAGATTTAAATATAAAAAATAAAGGCATAAAAATAAGAGAAGAAAATACAGCAATATATTTTTAACATTCTAGGTTAGAAATATGCTTCAAAGCCAGAAACTGTAAAGGAAAGATTTACTTGGCTGGGAGGGAAGGGTTGTTATTTTGTTATGAAGTCAAATGACAACTAGAAAAAAAATTGACAGATATTTGCAACTGGGTTAATTTTCTTTGCAGAAATGTGTTTTCCACAAACCAATAAGAAAAAAATAGGGAAATGAAGGGGCAATTCATAAAAGAAAACCTAATATCTTATAAAGTCATGGGAAGATATTCAGTGCACTAGTAATCAGAGAAATGGAAATTTAATGTGTAAAAATGAACTCAAAATGAATTAAAGGCCTGAATGAAAGAGCTAAAACAATAAAACTGTTAGAAGAAAACACAGGTGTAAATCTTCATGATCTCAGGTTAGGCAATGGTTTCTCAACGTGACACTAGAAGTAAAAGCAGTCAAACAGAAAAATAGATAAACTGGACTTCACCAAAAATTTAAAAACCTTTCTACTTTAAAAGACATCATCAAGAAAAAATAAAGAGACAACTTACTAGAGGGGAGAAAATTTTTGTAAATCATGTATCTGATGAGGAACTTGTATCCAGAATACATAAAGAACTACAACAATGTAATAATAAACAGACAACCTAATTTTTAAATGGGCAAAGAATCTTAACAGATATTTCTCCAAGGAAGATACACAAATGGCCAACAAGCACACAAAAAGATGCTCTACATCATTAGCCACCAGGGAAATACAAATTAAAACCACACCCACTAGGATGGCTATAATCAAAAAGACCAATAATAACTAGCGTTGATGACAATGGGGAGAAAATGGAACTCCCATGCGCTGCACGTGGGAATGTAAAATTATGCAGTCACTTTGGAAAACAGTTTGGCAGTTCCTTGAAGATTAAATACAGACTTACATATGATTCAGCAGTTACATTCCTAGGTATATACTCAAGAAAAATGAAAACATATGTCCACAGAAAAACTCATACACGAATGTACATAGCAGCACTGCTCATAATGGCCAAAAACTGAGAACCAAAATGTCCATCAAGGGTGAGTGGACAGACAAAATGTGATGTATCCGTACAATGAAATATTATTCAGCAATAAAAAGGAACGAAGTGTTAATATATGCTACAACATAGATGAACCTTGAAAACATTAAGCTAAGTGAAAGAACCCAATCACAAAAGATCATGGGGTATATCATTCCACTTATATGAAATGTCCAGAATAGGCAAATCTATAGACAGAAAGTAGATGAGTGGTTTCCAGGGGCTGGGGGAAATAAGGGTTTTAGAAGTGACAGTTAAGGAGGGCAAAGTTTTTTGGGGGGAGAGGTTGATGAAAAGTTCTAAAATTGATACTGCTGATGGTTGCACAACTTTACAAATATACTAAAAGCCTTTGACTTGTACATTTTAAATGGGTGAATTGTATGGCATATAAATTATATCTCAATAAAACTGTTAAAAAACAAATGTGCCACAATTCAGCTTCTCATTAGGAAATAGATGTTGGAACAGCTCGATGGTCTCATCACAATGACTAGGAAAGAGCCAGATAAACTACAAAAATTCTACTCTTGAGGGCATAACAAAGTCGTGGAAGCAATAAAGAGATGAATTGGAATTTCATAGAGGGAGACTTCTAGGGCACGGTTTTTGTTAATTTGCAGCAGGAACTGATGATAACACTTGGCCCACGTGGGGGACCGGGAAACCAGGGAAGTATTGGTTGGTGTCTCAGGACTGGTGCTGGTGTGAGAGATCACACAAATCAAGAAGCACTGACACGGTTGGTGTTTTCACAGGACATTGTTCGTGTTCTGGGGATAAACATGGAAGACTGAGGAGCCAGGCAAAGGGTTCCTAAAAGTCAGAGTAAAATCTGCCTGACTCTCAAAGTGCTTGGGAGGTAATGTTTCCCCAGGGGCACAGGGCTGCTGATTGGCTCTCAAGATTTTTGCCACATTTGAAAGCTTCAGGATGTGGGTTGAGCGGGAGCCGGTCTGTATGTGGGATCCGAACCCTCGGGCGGCAGCACTGCCGCGCCTCCTAAGCGGCGCACTATCCAGTGCGCCACTGGGCCGGCCCCTCAATAAAGCTGTTTTTAAAAAGAAGAAATTAAAGTCTAAACAATAATTACGTTGCATGCTTACTGGGTCTCCATCTGACAATAAGTTCCCCAGGGCAGCAGTCCCTTGTCTGTCTTATAATCCCTCAACCCACCCTCTCTTCCTCCCCAAGGTCACCTATCAGGCCTAGTAAAAAGATTAACACAAAGTTGGTGCTTAATAACAGACAGACGCCTCATAGCAAAGATGCTGTAAAATAATTTTTTTTGTAGAGGAAAAGGGGTTTGCTTCTGGTTTGACTTTCACATTACAGAGATGTTCTCCTATATTAAATGTGAGTACAAAGAATTTATGAAAAAATGTTAAGTCTCCACTTGCTTCTAAAGTTACTTCCTACTCACTGCTTCTATCCGGACCATAAGAAACCACATTTAAAGATACTCTGGATCTACCCTGGGCATCCTGGAGACTCTTCCATTCTTTCCCAGTCCTACCTTCAGTGTCTATGAATGAGCAACACTATGTTTTACCAGCAGGTGGCGATGTCTAACCTTTGATATTCAAATACCAAACGTCAAATGTGCCAGCTGCCAGGAGCGGGAGCATAACTCGACGCAGGGTGTGGGCTACACATAAAGAACGACTTTATGAATGCCCAGGGTGGATCCAGGGTATCTTTAAATCTGGTTTCTTAAGGCCTGGGTAGAAGCAGTTAACAATAATGTTTAATAATAATAATTGCTTCATTACTTGTGACAAATGTGCCATATGATGTAAAACAATAACCAGCAAAACTGGGTGTGGAGTATTTAAGAACTCTCTTCACTATCTTTGCAATAATCTGTAATTCTAAAACTGTTCTAAAATAAAGCTTATTTTTAAGAAAGTATTCACTAGCTGCCAATTTTGCCAAATTAAGATTCTATTTTAAGGAATAGTTCCAACTGTTTTAAAACTATTCTTTCCTGCTAAGGCATGTTTTTAAGTAATTAGAAGAGAGAAGAGCAAAACTTCAGGCTTGGAGAGCAGAGGGGATACATGATAGGGAAAAAAGGAGACGCCCAGAGAAAGAACGAAGTCCCAGACAAGTCCCATCATTTCTATCACAGTACTAGCAACATGGCTCTTTTCTCCTTGAAAACCAAGAAAACTTCCAGAGTGTTCACAACATATACAGTCTCTTCCAACCATGGGCAATAAAGAAGGTTGGAAGATACAGTGGGAACAGAAAAGTTGGTAGTGCTAATAAGTTATCATTCAACCAAAGTTTCTGCTGAAAGATTGATCAGCCCTTCTGAAGAGTTTTATGACCCAAACTTCCCTAAAGCCCCCAAAGTCCAAAGAAACACCTGGTGTCTAAATAGTTAGTATTTCTACTTTTTAAGAAAGTAGTCAGAAAAGGACTCAATATGTATGTTGATTTAGTAGTCTTTAAAAAAAAATTTTTTTTTTTATTTGCTCTGGTTCTGTTTTTTTTAAATGAGCATTTAAGAAGTAAATATTATAGGCCGGCCCGTGGCTCACTTGGGAGAGTGTGGTGCTGATAACACCAAGGCCACGGGTTCGGATCCTGTATAGGGATGGCCGGTTTGCTCACTGGCTGAGCGTGGTGCTGACAACACCAAGCCAAGGGTTGAGATCCCCTTACCGGTCATCTTTAAAAAAAAAAAAAAAAAAAAAAAAAAAAAAAAAAATTTTTTG